GTATCTCTTTGAAGGTACTCTTAAAATCTTTATCAGATCAAAGTTTCCTTTTTAGTCTAGCTAAACATTGATTGGTTTTAATTGCAACTTTTCTTTAAAACTTGAGGCTTGGCCATTTTATTCAATGGAAGAACCTAACAAGCATCCAATCCAAAATGAGAATATATTTATCATTGTTCCTCATAAACGTGTATTGGGCATGCCACTCTATAAATGGAGGGTCACTTAACTTTACGTCTAAAACAATTGGAAAAATGTATAAAGGGTACCGTTGTGGATACACTTTACAAAAACAAATGCAACAAAACTGATTCAAGAACAATGAACATATCTGCTACATGTATGTATAACAAAATAGATTGTGGTATCCAATTTTCACGTTATAAACTCATTTACCCTCCCCCCCCCCCCTATTCCACAACATATATTAATCCTTCTTAAAAGAACCTGTGCATAAGATTTCGATGTATTGTATATATATATAAAGTTGTAATCTCTGTTTGGTTGTTTGTCCAATCATAACTCAGGAACCCCTGGACCAATTTGCCTCACATTTTGATTGAGAAACTTGGGAGGCCCAATGGAATGTTCTTAGCTTGGTTTTGAGATTCTAAGATTAGTATGTCGGTTTTTATAGGAAAAATTTAGTTTCCGGTAAAATCGTTCAAGTGCGGGTAAACGGTGGGAGTAGCTTTTAGTAACCTTGGCAGTGCTGGGTTCCCAAGCTAGTAATAAGTTAAAGCAATTAAAACTGAAAGATAAATAAAACGATGTCTTTGATGCAAATTGTTTAATATCTAAATTTTTTTTAGAGGGCGGGTCACTCAATCATGCCATGTTATGCTTTTAACCAAGTAAACTATGATTTATTTTTATTAAGAATAAAAGTTTCTCTAAAAGCTTTCTCTAGAATCTAGAAATATAGAATTTCTAGATTAATGAGTTACTAGTTAATAAAAGGTTTCTATAAAGACCTTTAATTTATTTTAATTATCTGGAACATTTCAATAGAAAGACGTTTCATAAAGAATATATTATGCACATGCCACATGAAAGACGTTTCATAAAGAATATAATATGCACATGCCACATGAAAGACGTTTCATAAAGAATACATTATGCGCATGCCACATGCTATAGCTACATATCTGAAACTTGTGCATCAGCTTTTTAGACCGGGCCAACTTTTAAGCCAGGCCTTTAGCTCGGTTTACTCTAGCTACCTTTTTTAGCAGCCTTATACATGAATATTGTTCACAGAGTTTGTGGCAAAATTCGAATGAGTTAGATGTTCACGTGAGGCCGAAGAGTTTTAGTATTCCAGTGAAATAGGATATTAGTAAATTAGACTTTTCATAGACATTCCATTCCATTAAAATTGAACCCTATCCCAATTGGGCTATTTTTTTCTAATATAGACTTTAACTTTCCCCTTAGAGTTAGGATAGGGGATACATGTCCCTAGTCCAACTTTTCGCGTCCTCTATTTTTTATGGTTAGGATGCAAAGGAGGATTAAAAAAAGTTCAAAAAGTACGAGGGAAAAATATTTAAAAATATATTTTTTACTTTTGACTAATATTATCATATGAGTCATGATATTAAATTAATTTTTCAATGGCTTTTNGGGGAGGGTTTTCCACCTCCCTTATGATTTAGGCCCTTATAGGTGAGATAGGGGAGTGATATCCATGTCCAACTTTTCAAGGCCTGCTCAATAAAAAATAGACCTCTAACTTTAATAGTTTAATTCCAAAAAATCATTCAGATATTACAAACAATAGTCATCGATTATTTTTCGACGCATTCGTAAATAGTTGTTATTTCATAATATTTTCATAATATTTTCTATTTTTCATGAACTGAGAGTTACTTTTGAAAACATTTATTCCTGTTTCGAGGATTTTTGATAATGAAGACGACATTTTAATATTTTCCAGGAATGTTCGAAAATCCAGCGCCAGCGAAAATTATTTTTTTTAAATCAAAAATATTATGAAATATTAACTATATACGAATGCGCCGAAAAATAATCGATGACTACTGTTTGTAAAATCTGAATGATTTGTTTGGAATTAAATTGTTTTGTTTACGATCCGAGTTGAATGTTGAGTCTTTTCGAATTTGTATGGACGCTGCGTTCTTCGGTGTGAGTCGTTTTTAACAATTTTCTCCTTATAGACGCAACAGATAAAAGTAATATTAGTAGCGATCAAAAGCGCTTTTTTATCGCATTTTCAGTTTTTGCGAATACTCCCTTTAAAGAAATGAAAGAAAACGCTGTAACCTGTACACTTGTTTAAAGTACGGATTTTTAAGTGTGAAGGGAATGGAACGAGGATGGAACCGTGCTCGACAAAGAAGGGAACAGACAGGGATGAAACCGTTCTTGACTAAGAACACCAAGAACAAAAAATGAATGGAACAATTGGAAAAAGAACGAACGAGGATGGAACAATCAAGCTGAAGGCCCTCATCTAAAACGCGACGGAAGGATTTCAGAAAAGTCAGAACGTGCCCAGCCCTAACTGTGAGAACTAATCTAAATCTTTAGCTCAATATCTCTAAAACTCAAGGATAAAATTGCTGCTAAAGTTGGAAAAAGACATAGCTCCAACACATTCATGCCTTATGTCATTTTCTTCGTAATTAAGTCCAGAAAGATTAAATCCGTCGAAATTTTTACAAATTTTAAAAATTGACTGAAGGAAATATGTGATATCTGAATTTTATTATTTTCCTAATATTCTGGAATATTTTTGTTAAATAGAGAGAATGATTCAACTTAATTTAAATAGAACAAAATCACGCAACCTCCATCCCAAAGAAAAAAAGAAACCCGAGATGTTAGATGCGTAAAACAAAGATTTCCTTCGTTCCAGGAAAAATTATATTCTTGTATGAAAACCTTCTGTTTGCTCGCAGAAAAATGATTATTTTTAATTCGCATTGCGAATTTATGCATTCGACACAAAGAAGAAAGTTGTTGTGCAGCTCAGTACCATAAGATATAGTTACAAAATATATCATAACAAAAAATGTAATTACTAAACCTGTTATTACAAAACTTATAATTGCAAAATATATAATAACAAAACATATAAGTTACGAAAGAAATGAATTACAAAAGATTTGCAAAATCTATTAAAAAAGAAAATTACAAAAGTTTTTTCATTTGAACATTTCTTTTAGACAATTTTTATGTGCATTTGAACTATTAAAATCCGCAGAGCTCGGCCTCCTGGCCTGTCCTAGCCGCAGCGCTCGGTCCCTTAGCCTGTCCTTGCCATATAGTAGATAAATATTAACTTTTTTTTGTTAATTTGGACAGGTTTAGGCTAGATTATTACAGTTTCTAGGCCGAGCGCTGCGGCTAGGAGTTCAAATAAACATAAAAATAATTTAACTGAACCACAACTAAATTTTTTTCTGGTTCATTTGAACTATTTTTGTGTTTAAATACAATGGAATATGAGCTAAAGAACATTTCATATATTTTGTAACATTTGCCTTTCTATAGATTATGTAATTCTATATTTTATAACTTATATATTTTGTAACTTATATCTTTTGTACTTTGCCAAAACATATTTTCAATAAAATGTGGAACTAACATCTACTTTTATTTCCCTACAGTGCAGAGGTTTGGTCCATCACCATTACCGAATTTTAAATCTTATGTTACTTATATCAATGTAATTATATGTTTTGTTATTACATACTTTGTAACTTTTATCTTTAGTATTAATTATATCTTATGTTACTGAGACCTCAGTTGGAAGTCTAATGACGAACTACCCTGAGTGGAAGATAAGCGTTCTGCATGTTTTGAAGATTCCAAAAGCTAGATATAAAGTATAACATTTTCTTTAATATAAAATTTATGTATGTTTAATTATCAGCTTTAAAGTACTTAAAAAACCAATATCTAGACAAATATGTAAAATTTAGATTACAATTAAATGATATCATTCCGACGGAGCACTGGAAATAGATAAATAGATAATGCACCTTTATTCAGGGCAATATTGATTAAATCTGTTAATTTATTTACCATGTCGTAAAAACATCCTAGAGACACTGTGATATAATAATTACATTGTGATTTTACTCATTTGAATTCTCTGGGTCAAGGGCTTTACAAAAATTAGTTATTTGTTGCGATTTGCGCAATTATTTTTCGTAATTACCAGAATTTGCAATTAAGATTTTGGCTTTTGCAAATTATCCATTCTTTGCAGACTATTGTAGTAGAGCTCAAGGCCTTTCCAAAAATGTATTAGATTTGTATCACAATAAGGCAGCCAGTAATCAAGACGTCAGGCTAAATATGGTTTAAATCATGCACATTGTTGATACTACAAACATACTTTCATTTTAAAGAATTCAAAAACAATGTTTATATTCATGATGTATCTAAATAAACTAAATTTTTTATCAAAAACAAGAAGAAACGATGTTCCGTGTTTTGATATTTTATTCTTGGGATAAAAATAAAGTAAACTTGATCAAAATACAGTTTTTAAATCTTGGAACCGCTAAAAACTGACAGTATTTGTGTGGTGACAAATAAAGCTCCAATTTCTTCAGTTCCAATGTATGAACTATTAGGCATCAGGTCCCAAAGAATATTTTACCTTAAAAAATCCATCTTCGACTTGTATCTCTTAAATTAGGAAGATTAATGATACCTAAGATAAAATTAGAAACATTGTATTATTAGTAAAAAGTAAGTATAACCTTTGGATTTGAGTCATTAACACAAATGTTATAATCCCTATATCTTTGCTACCTAAAGATGTAACTTGTAAACCTTTGATATTTCAAATTGGGTTTTAATCAAAGTTTGAATTATCAAAGGAAACACAACATCGGTTTATAAAGAAATAGGTGTTTAGAAATTAGAGTTCATGCGATAAAAACTCATTTTCTTTGCACTTATGGGAAAAAAGAGATATGAATTATCATAAAAATATCATTTATTAAATTTTTTATTTTTAGGCTAAAGGTTCTAAGAAAGCAAAGAAGGGGGCCAATGTCTTCACACTTTTCAGCCAGAAGCAGATTCAAGAATTCAAGGAAGGAAGAATCAAAAATAAGAGAAAAACAATTCAGTGGTCCCTAAAATGATGTAAAATAAACTGCAAATTTTACAAAACTGAAAGAAAGTGCGCTCTCAATACTTTTTTTGTTACAATTGTCATAAATTCAACTTTTAAAAGTTTTTTTTATCAATTTCATATTTTCCAAAACAATTATTTAATTCAACAATAGAAGAATTTCTTTAGGTGTCTTGCAGATCATCGTCAACAAAATCTAAATAAAAGTTAAAATTTTTAATTCTGAATTTAGGAAGCTTTCGGTATTATTGACAACGACAAGGACGGTATTGTTACTGCCAATGATCTGAAAACAGCTTTTGCTGGAGTAGGTGAGACCTTCCTTATTGATCTTGAAGTGCTACAGTAGGATTTGAAGGATATGTAACAAATCCGCCAGGAAATGATCAGAAAGGAATTGAGTTTTTGTCACAAAGTCTGATTTTCTTATCCATATCTTTGCATTTCAATGTAAGAGGCCTTAGATATTTCAAACTATGAATTATATTAGATCAAATAATAATAGTTTTGAAATATCAACTATTAACACCATCAGGTTGCAAAGATATAGCGATTTAAATATCAGAATTTGTGGCTAAAACTCAGTTCCTTTCCTCGAAAAACTGGATCAGTTGATTGTTAGATCTGAGCCCACGATTTAAAAGAATCGGAGAAATACGGCTCGGGTCGTTGGACCTTTTATGGATTGAGCTTTCGGATTCAAGCTGCAGCTTATTTTCCACCGAGTTGAATTTAAAAAAAACGGTTTAATATTCTATTCGGCGGATTTTCATGGTAGGAATATCAATTTTTTTACTGTTGATAAAGAAATGTCCAGATATATTTTACATATGTGAGCAATTATAGATCCATAAGACTGATACATTTTACAAAGCATGCTTTTACTTCGTTACATTTACTCAAAATCCTTTCTGTGTTTATCTTACATGATTATTAAAAGAGTATATAGCGAGTGCTGAAGATTCAGCCAACTTTAAAACATTTTTACTAAATATAAACACGTAGTTTACGGTCCTCAGGGGTCATTTGATTGTTTATAATAAACAAAACATGTTTATTTTTTAGAAGAAAATTTGAATTTTTAAATTGAACAAAACCACTCAAAATATTTTTCTTGTTTGACTTTTTGGTAGTGGTAAATGAAATCCATTTAACGCCCACTCCTCTTTCATCTTTCCAGGGACCGAGTTTAATGAATTTGAGCGACGTCGCTGAACGTTTCATATTTAAACCACCGAAGTTAAAGACTAAGGGAATATATGAATCGTTGATTCATATTTGAACCTGTGGAAGAAAACAGTTAAAATTCATTAAATTCGGTCTCCTGGATTTTTCTGTGCTGATTGATTGATTGATTTTCTAGGAACTGTATTTCAAGAAAGTAATTTCGCGCAATTATATCTGCACAATGTTAATAAATTACATACATTTTCGTTAAGGTAAGACAGTAAGCGACAGTGAGGTGAACAATATGCTAGGTGAGGCCCCAGGCCCGGTCAACTTTACGCAGATGGTCACCCTCTTCGCAGAGAAAATGGCCGGAGGTACTTTCTATATCTATATATATATAAAATTGTCATCTCTGTTTGTCTCTTTGTATGTCCGATCATAACTTAGGAACCTCTGGACCAATTTACCTCAAATTTTGATTGGGGAACTCGGGAGACCCACGGGAATGTTCTAAGCGTGGTTTTGAGATTCTAAGTTAAATGGGTATACTTTTATAGCGAAAATTTAGTTTCGGCCGGTAAAAATCAACGTCGGGATTTAATATGAGCACATTGGGCAACACTGGGTTCCCAAGGCTAACTCTGATTTTATAATATCCAAATATTCTCACTCTGAAAAATCTAAAATTTTGATTGTGGAACTCAAAAGAGCCACATGATTAGTCTCAGCTTGGTTTTGAGATTCTAAATGGAGTAGGTCCACTTAGAAAAATAGATAAAATCGTAATTTAAGACCAAGCGCGGGTAAACGGCGGGAGTATCTACGAGTACCCTGGGGCAACGCTGTGTTCTCAGACTTGAGCTTTCAAATAAAACTAAATCTCAATAAATTTGTTTAGGCTATTATGGTCTAAAAAAATGTTTCATTGATTCCAGACTTTTTTCATTGTGTCATTTCATTTCCATATTTTCTCTTATTCAACTTCTAATTTGTTTGTTTACATATCAGGGGCTGACGACGATGACGTCATCATCAAATCCTTTGAAGCTTTCGAGATCAACGGTCAGATCGACGCAGAAATGTAAGGTTTTTAATTTAAAAATAACACCGCTGAGGAAATTGCATAGATAAAGATAGATAAGACGACATTTTTCATCTTGAAAGATATAAATGTACTGAGATGTTTTAAAGATATTTCTATTATATAGATAAACTAGGTCGGTTGTGAACATTGGCTGTTCTTATGTCATTGAGTACTTGTGGTGTACATGAGTTCTGTAGAGAGAAATTTATGTTAGTTTAGTCCTTCTCATGTCCTTCTTCAGTTCTCATTAATATGATGTATTGCTCAGTGAAATATTGTTGTTCAAATAGTTCCATTCCCGGAATTATCTTACACTCTATTATGAAATCCATTAAAACACCAAACCACCCCGCTTATCATTGAAGTACACTTTGACCCCTAGGAGTATGAGTTCGCGGATTGTACAATTCTTGGTGGTTTTGCGTACATAAGCTATCTATGTTTATTTATTAATCTATGGGAAATTGTAATTTGTAATTGTCATAGCTAATAATAACTTCTGTGTTGGATACATGTCATTCTTATTTTTTGATCTCGATATCCATTGTGGGCACTTTTAATTTTTAATCTCTTCATGGCATATGCATATACCTTTAGGATATAAACAATTACCATACGGGATATCGAATAAAGATTTAAATTAATCTGCAGATTAACAAATGATCAAGATAGCAGTGATCTCGATATCCGGCACAATACAAGAGTTACAAACTCTGAACATATCAATCATAAAAGTTAAAAATTGCAAAAATATAATTCACATTTTGAATTGTGAGAAAAGCTGTTTAATTATTATTATAATAATTATAATTATTATTAATGATAATAATAAAAAAATTATGATAAAACCACTTCCATCATGCTATAGCTACTGTGTACTTAAAATACAACTACTAATAAATAGAGTAATAACAGATAAAAATGGTAATGATTATAATATTAATGATAATAATAATAATAATGTTAATAATAGTAATAATAATAATAACGTACTGCAGGATTGAGACTAGGAGACCTTCAAGGAAACCGGTTTAGAATGGTTGTAAGAAATATCGAAAACACTGCTACTGAACTATCCATTAGGAAAGAACAGAAAATATAAAAATTTAACTTTTTATTTAATTTTCCCTAATTAAAGCACCTTTTAAAATTGACCCCATATGCAATATTTTTCAAATGTCTACCCACCCTTGATATTTTTATTTTCTTATAGATCTGCCATGGAGTACTTATTTTTATTTTCTTACAGATCTACCATGGAGTACTTATTTTTATT